TATCTGAGAGTCGTTAGATCAAAAAATATCAACAACTCTGATTCGTAAGCATGTGACACCATTGATCTTTTTTGATCTAATAACTTTCAGATGAGGTATCAAATTTGAAATTTGACACTGGTGTCAAATGATCTTACCTCATATATATATATATATATATATATATATATATGTATATATATATATATATACATATATATGTGTATATATATATATATATCACCATTTCACCAACTGAGTTTTGACAACGACGTGGGTGAAGATATTCAAAAACCTCCTTACATTTAATTGTGTTGTGTAGTGAATTCTACTGTTACTTCTCATGTAGAGTAGGGAAGAGTAGGGGTGTGCAAAAAAACCAGTTCACTTGCCCTGCCCTTGATCCGACCTTGACCTGACCCATAGATACCTATATTTTTTGAACTCTTGTAAATACTAACCCACTTTTATTTGGGTCAGTTTTAGACCTAACTTATTTTAATATTGACTCATTGACCCAAAACTTGACCCATACCCATTATGTGAAAAAAAAAATCACAGTTACAAATTTGTGACTAAAAACATTTATGTAAAAAAATTTGACGGAATATTTTTTTTGTCAAATTTTTTTACTGAATCTAAGTTTAGTCAAAATATTTCACAAAAAAATATATTCATCAAAAATTTTGACGAAACACATTTTCATCGAAATTTTTTGACAGATAAAATGTCATCAAAATTCTTTACAGATTTCAAATTTCGGCAAAAGTTTTCGACGGAAACATATTTCTATCGAAAATTTTCGACTAAATATTTTTGTCAAGTTTTTTGATAAAAAATATTTCCATCAAAATTTTCAACGAAACACATTTCTGCAAAAAAAATTTGTAAAAATTTTTGACAAAATATTTCAATAAAAAATTTTGACTGAAAAAATATTCTGTCAAAATTCTTTAGAGAATCTAAATTTCGTCGAAAGTTTCGAATGAAACATTTCCCTCAAAAAAATTTCCATTGAAAATTTCGACGAAACATATTTCTATCAAAAAAGTTTGACGGAATATTTTTTTATCAAAATTCTTTACAGACTTCAAATTTTGGTGAAATTTTCAACGGAAAAATTTTCGTTAAACTTTTTGACAAAAAAAAAATTTCGTCGAAATTTTTAGCGAAACACATTTCCAGAAAATTTTTAACTAAATATTTTCGTCAAGTTTTTTGATAAAAAATATTTCCATCAAAATTTTCAACGGAACACATTTCTGTAAAAAAATTTCGTAAAAAATTTTGACAGGAAAAATATTCTATCAAAATTCTTTAGAGAATCTAAATTTCGTCGAAAGTTTCGAATGAAACATTTCCCTTGAAACAATTTTCGTCGAAATTTTTCTCAGAACACATTCCCATCGAAATTTTGAACGAAAAACATTCTGTTAAAATTTTTGACAGAATTCTTTTTTCGTTTAAAACATTTGATGGAAGAAATAATTTTCGTCAAAACTTTTGACGAAAACTAAATTTTGATAGAAAATTTATTTTTGTAAAAATTTTCATTAGAGAAAAAATTTTGTCGCTTTTCGACAAAAAGTATTCCGACGAAAAAATAATTTTGTGACAAAATTTTCGTCGTTTGCAACATAGAAAATTCGACGTAATTTTGTGAGAAAACCAAGTCAAAAACGAGCCAGGTCAGATTTGACCCACTTTAAAAATTAAGTCAGACCCACTTCAGAAACTAAGTCAGGTCAGATCCGACCCGGTTCTGAACTAGTTCAACAAAATCCAAACCAAGTCAGACCTGACTTGGATCAAATGAAAGCGGGTCGGGTCAAAATACCTGACCTATAAAAACCAAGTTGGGTCAAGTCGGACAAAAAACCTGACCCGACCTGACCCATGCACAACCCTAGGGAAGAGTCTTATATTTCAACATTTTTTTAACAAAGAGATTCCTGATTCCCTTCACATGACCCACAAATTGTATGTAACCTTAACTTCTAAGTTCTAACCATTACATTTGAATCCCACCATGATCTTTCAAATTTTTAATCATCCTTGCGTAGCTGATACTTCAATGGAATTAACTCTCTTTGGCTGTCTGCTTACAATTTTGAAATGGCTTTACCATGTTAATCCTTCAAAAAAAATTCTTCAACCAACTTCTTAATAAATAGAATATAATATTGGTTTTTATTTGGAAGTTCTAAATGTATGTCATTTACTACAACAAATGTCGTGAGTTTTGTAGAAAAGAGATGAACCACTTTTGTCATATATAATCTATTCCTGCAGAGGAGGAAAGATGTATTAGAATAGTTTAGCTCTTGTAGGATTCTACTTTGTTTTTTGTTTTTTAATATTTGATTAAGTTCTAGTGGATTTTAAGTATTGCATCATCTGTTAACAGACAATCATGGAATAATATTATACATGTAATATTATATTTTTTTTAATTTTGTTTACTTCTTCTCTTAATTTTTATATTTTTTTTCTCTATTTTTCTTCCTTATTTATTTTTTCCCTTGTTTTATCTTTATTTTCATTACTTTATTTCCTTAGTTTTCTATTTTTATTTTTCTCTTCTTTTCTTTTTTCTCTTATGTATTTTTCTCTCTTATTTTTAATTTAATTTATTTTTAATTTAAACTTTGTATTACCTTTTTTTTTCAAATTTAAGATATTATCTATATTTATGATTTTCTTATTTTTTCCTCAATATTTATATACTTTTCATATGGTTTCAGAACTGTGTCAAAAATTAATTTTAAGGTTGTGAAAAAGAACTACAAAAAATATTACACTCAAACCAATTAATTTTTTAAAATTAATTCTTGAACTGAACTATTTTTAAAAATTAGTTCATGAACCGAACTTATTTTTTCCCTCTTCCTTTCATTAATTTTTCTTTCTTCGTCTCTATTTCTTTTCTCTCATTTATTTATTTATTGTCTTCTTTTTTCTTTATTTTTATTTCTTTATTTATTTAATTTTTTTCACTTATGTATTTTTTTTTTAATATTTAGTATGATTTATATATATATATATATATATATATATATATACATATATATATATATATATAAAATTCACAACTGGTTATTAACTAGTTCACTAAACTAATAAATCAATTCAATTATATATGAATTGAATTGTTTTTTTTTTTTTTAATTTAGTTCTGTTCGGCAAATAAACCGAATGGAACTGAACTATGCACTTGAAGCACCTTAAAATATAATAGTCCTTTAGGTGGTGTTTGGTTGGGAGCTTTTCAGCAGATATCTATCTTTCTCAAGTATGGCTTTTAGAAATACCATGTTTGTTTCAACGTTTTTCACCAAAAACTCATCTATCCAATTTGTCTGGATTTATGAGAAACATAGATATCCGCACTATTTAGAAACCCAATTTAAATGTGGGATTTTTTGGAAAATCGATTATCTGACTTTTAATGCACTGTTGATTTAAGTTTGTGTTCCTCTTTATCAGAAGAACAACCTTATGCATGGGAGATTTAATCGATTAAATAGGAAGATTTAATCAACTAAATCTTCAAGTCAACGATTTTTGCTTATTTTGACCATTTAATCGATTAATTTTTTGACTTAATCGATTAAAGAGGGGCAGATTGGTAGATAGTTTTGAATGAGGGAAAAAATGGTTATTAAATAATTAATGAGGGGCAAAAGGGTGAAATAGCCCGCGATGTTTGTCCTTTGTTTATCCTGTTCTGTAACTTAAGAAGTATCGACACTTCAAAAATTCTGACGACACTTTGCGACACTCCCTGACACTCCAATACGCGTTATAGAAACTCAAAAAGAAAAATTCAAAGTTTGTGTTGCTTTGCGTTTTTAGTTCCAACTATTAGATTCGTTGGATTACGATTATCATTTTATTGAATTTAATATCTTATATTTTTTTGCAAAATTGATGAGTATTATAAGTTTAGCTTCAATTTTTTGTTAAGTTATTTAATATTAAATATAATATACATAACATAAATTAAAAATATTATTTAATATCAAAACGTGTCCTACCCTGATATGTCAAAATTTAATATTTTTAGAATTAACATATTAAAATATCGTGTCATGTCACGTGTCTCGAATTGCGACATAAATTGTAACTTCGGGTCTCGTGTTGCTACATAAATTTGAAAACCAATTTAGAATTGGTTATGAACCGGTTCAATTCACTAAACTTATAAATTAATTATTGGATTTAATGTTTGTCATTTTAAATTATATACGTTATGTCATTTTAAGAAAGATAGACACAAAGAATGAAAATTATGAGAGAAAAAATGAATGATTTTTTTTTTAATTTAAATTTTAAATAAAAAATTATTATTTTATGTCTATTTCTCTTTTAAAATGATATAACCTTAATGTCGTTTAAAATGACAAATAATTTTTCTTTAATTAAATTATAAGAATTGAATTGTTTTTTTCCAATTCACTGCTCACTGCTCAGCAAAGAAACCGAACGGAACCATGCAGAGTTCCCGCCCGTCTCCGAATTAGTTTCTTATACGCAATGTTTGTCCTTAATTTGTTCACTCTGTATTGTGTTGTAACGTACTTGGTGTTTGCAGGACCCCTTGATTTGACCCAACGATTCAATTTTCTTCATTCTACTTGATAGTTGGTAATGATAGCTTTGGGAAACCAAAAAGCACGCACGCAACTAATGTCTCTTTCATGTCCTTAAAGGGCCATCAAAGTCCAACCTCGAAATTTCTTGTGCGTTGACGCCGTTTACCATCTCCATCAATTTGGTTATAGTCTTCGTCCACCCCTTTAGTCTTCCACTTGTGAGAGAAATTGCTCAGCACATGTGTACCAGTTCCTCGAATAATGACAAAGCTTTTAAACTTGACTTAACATTTGATTGGGGGTTGATGTTTCCACGAAATTCATCATGCATGCATTGTTCCAACAAGTGTAAATTTCTTAGTATATATAAGAGTTGTCAGAGTGGAGCGAAAGCCATCAATACCATTGACTGTTCCAATCAATGTACTTGTTTGTTTCACTAAGAATGGGAAGATACCTGAGTGTGGCAACATGTGTTGTCCTTTTGCTGTTGGCTGAAATTGCACAAATATGCTTGTGTTCAAATTCAACCTTCCCCTGCATAGAACGAGAGAGGCAAGCTCTTCTCAAGTTCAAAGCATCCCTTCATGATCCATCAAACAGGCTTTCCTCATGGAAAGGTATTCATTGTTGCCAATGGGAAGGCATAGCCTGTGACAATGTTACTGCTCATGTTATCAAGCTTGATCTCAGTAATCCTACCAACCTTGATCTCAGGTATCCTTTCTTCATGCCACCTTTGGTTACACCAGAATCTGAGGAGTATATAGAGTACAAGCAACTTTCTCTACAAGATGATACTGTGCAAGACGGAGTTCATATGCAAGCTCCAAATGTTAATCCATCTTTGTTGCAGTTGGAACACTTGACTTACTTGGACTTGAGTGGAAATGATTTCAATTCTAGTCCAATACCAAACTTCATTGGTTCTATGAGATGGCTTAGGTATCTTTCTCTCTCGGACGCTAACTTTGGCGGGAGGATTCCTCACAATCTTGGAAATCTCACCAACCTGCACCATCTTGATCTCAGTTACAATTTCCAAGATTTATCAAACGGTGACATGATCAATTGGATCTCTAAACTTCAATTATTAGAACACCTTGACATGAGTGGTGTTAACCTTGGGGATGCAGACAAGATGTTCCAGGTACTTCACATGCTTCCTTCCTTGTCACATATTTACTTGAGTGGTTGTGAACTTAACAAATATCTCATTCCACACCAAGCTTTCCAAAACATGACATCTCTTTCTTATCTTGATCTTTCATATAATTCGCTTCAAGGTCCAATTCTTGATGCTTTCAGAAACTTAACTTCCATTCAATTCCTCGACCTTTCTGCCAACAATATCACTTCGATTCCATCATGGTTCTCTGATGATTTTGAAAACATGACTTCCATTGAATCCCTCTACCTTTTTGACAACAAGATCACTTCAATCCCATCATGGTTTCTTAACTTGGAGAAACTTGTGCATCTTGATCTTTCTTTCAATAGGCTTCATGGTCCAATTCCCGAGACATTCCAAAACATGGTTTCAATTGAATTCCTTGAGCTTTCGTGGAACTATTTCACTTCAGTTCCATCATGGTTTCAAAACTTTGAGAAACTTAAGTTCCTTGATCTTTCACGGAATGGGCTTCGTGTCGCAAGTATTGATGCTTTCAGAAACATGACATCACTTGCGTATCTTGATCTTTCTCACAATGGGCTTCGTGGTCCGATTCCAGAGACTTTCCAAAACATGACTTCTATTGAGTTCCTAGACCTTTCCATGAACAATTTCAGTTCAATGATTCCATCGTGGTTTGCTAAGTTGAAGAGTCTTATCGTCCTTGATCTTTCGTCGAATGAACTCCCACATATGGAATGTTCTCTGCCATCAATTATAAGAAACATGTGCCACCTCAAATTGTTAGACTTCTCGGGAAATAAGCTTCAAGGAGAACTAACTGGAAGCTACGAATTGTCAGGATGCATTAGATATGATTTGGAGGCACTGGATTTAAGTGATAATGAATTTAGTGATCGCTTGCCAACTTGGCTGGGGCAACTTGAAAATCTAGAGTTCCTTGATCTCAGCTCAAATTTTTTCTATGGGCCCATTCCCTTTTCTCTAGTGCCAAAATTAAAAAAGTTGAATGAACTTGATTTATCTAACAATAAGTTGGACGGGATCATTCCTAATAATATGGGACAACTTGTCAACTTAACTTCCTTAGATCTTTCTTCTAATAAATTTTATGGTTTATTTCCTCAAAGTCTCTGGCAACTTATGCCCCAACTTTCGTATTTGGATCTTTCTTCAAACAAGTTGGAGGGTACAATTTCTACAAGAGAATGGCCCTCAATTGTGCCCTACATATATTATTTGGATCTCTCCAATAACCAAATCGGTGGATCACTTCCAGAAAATATAGGCCATATGATGCCCCGATTGTATAACTTGATTCTTGGAAATAACCTCATAAATGGTTCAATACCAATCTCTTTGTGCCAAATTACTAAGCTGAGCTACCTTGACCTTTCAAAGAACAAGTTATCTGGTGAAATTCCAAATTGTTGGAAGGATAATGAAGAATGGGAAGAAATAAATTTGTCATCCAACAACCTATCGGGTGAGTTTCCAAGCTCATTCGGGAATCTTTCCTCATTGGTATGGTTGCATTTGAATAATAACAGCCTTCAAGGTGAGCTTCCACTGTCTTTGAGAAATTTGAAGCAATTGGTGATTTTGGATGTTGGTGAGAATCAACTTTCTGGGAGTATACCATCATGGACTACAAACATTTTTCCTTCACTACAAATTCTCAGACTGCGGCAAAACTTGTTGGGTGGCAGCATTCCTTCACAATTATGCCAACTCACGACACTGAAAATTTTGGACCTTTCCCGCAACAAATTACAAGGTTCAGTACCTTGGTGCATAGGCAATCTTAGAGGAATGACTCTGGACAAATCATCAGATAAAGCCAATACAAAATTGGTTCCCATGCCGCATAATGATTCTGTCGCAGAGGCTCCTGGATGGTATAATGAGGATGTCAAAGAAGTCATGAAAGGGACAGAAGTTGAGTACATCAGAATCTTGAAGTTTGTAGTCATCATGGACTTGTCAGAAAACAATTTGGTTGGGTCCATTCCCAATGAAATAACTTTGCTCACTGGATTACATGGCATGAATCTGTCAAACAATCATTTGAAAGGAGAGATCCCTAAGATGATCGGTGATATGAAATCATTGGAATCCTTGGACGTGTCTCATAACCAACTTTCAGGCACAATTCCAAACAACATGCCAGCTTTAACTTTCTTGAGCCATTTAAACTTGTCACACAACAATTTTTCAGGACCAATTCCCAAAGGTAATCAGTTTTCAACATATGACTCATCTATTTATGCTGACAACCTGTATCTTTGTGGATCTCCACTTCCAAAATTATGTCCTGGTGACGAATCAAATCCAGCTCCTGAAAGCAAAGGTAATGAAGATGATATTGATGATGGCAAGAAAGAAAAGGTAGAAAAAATATGGTTCTACTTTGTAATAGCGGTTGGCTTTGCTACTGGTTTCTGGGGAGTTATTGGGACCTTATTTTTCAACAAGAGTTTTAGACATGCTTACTTCAGATGGGCGGATGACAAGACAGACAAGATTTATGTGGCAATTGTTATAAAATGGGCAAAGCTAAAGAAGCTGATGATGATGATGAGAAGCCGTATGAGTGGGTGACTGTTGTTTCTCTTTTCTTTCTTTTTCTATATGTTTTACTAGTAAATTCAATAAGGTTTGTGTCGTTTTTCTGTTTTTTTTTTTAATTTCATCTTTAGTTGACACAATGTTGTATGGCTTTAGATAGATATTTTAAGATTTACTGTGTAATTGTAGCAAGTAGTTTATGCTTTGAAGTTTGAGCACTAGTTATTGTTTACAGCAAATAAACAAATTCCAAATAAAGTTTGAAATTTGTGTTATGGTCTAGTAATTAATAATGCATGCAGTGTGGCACATGTTTTCGTGAGTGGAATTCTTCAATTCATTTATATGTTAATTCACATAGTAAATGCATTAATTGGGCAAAATAGTTAAATTTTCCATAGTTCATTTTCTCTAAGAAATGTGTTTAAAAAAAAAATTATTTCAATTACTTTGTAGATTGTAGTTGGAAATTGGAATGGTCATACAGAAGAATCAACTCAATCAAGAGTTTCTGTAAACTTGCGCTGAATGATTACATTACACTAATAGATATACTTCATTTAATATTGGAGTCAGAAAATTTTATAAAAGGGTGTGAGTAAAGGAGGATGCAGACAAATACGTAGTAAGATTTGAAGAACTTTACTATCTTTTTTTTTTTTTGGAAAAATGTGTGTCATTTTAAAGGATGTAAAGTTATGTCATTTTAAATGAGAGAAAGATAAAAGAGGAGATAGAGTGGACAAAAAAAATATAAAAGTGTGGGTTCCACCTCTTTGTGAGAGTGAAATGATATAAGTTATGTTATTTAAAAGAACAAATATTTTTTTTTTTACACAAAAAATAATAAAACCATAAAAGGATAACTTATTACAAAAAGTTTTATATTTTAATCACTTTACCTTCATAAATTTGATTTTAACAGCCTAAAATTTGGTTATAAGGGTTTCAAAGGATAACCTCAGTTAAAGTTGAATGATACTAACGCTTTAATTAAAAACCAAAGTTTAAAGGGTTAGGCGAAATACCTAAAGTGGGTTTAGAACAACTATAATTCAAGGGGGATAAAATGCATTTACTTGTTTTCTTTGCCCAACCAATCATCTACCGGGAGTTATTTTCTTAGCTATGTAAATATTGATATTAACAAGAAGCATACATAAAAGCAAAACAGAAGGCCTTGACTCTTACCTCTCAACTTTTACTTCTCGAGAATAAGTTAAGGTTCCTTTTTGCGATGGACTTGCATTAAACATCACAAAAAGGAACCTTTACTTTTAAATCTTGCCCTTCCCATGTTATGATCACATTGGATGGCATTTAGTCTGGGTGCTTCACATTTTTTAAACCTTTACATTCTCTAGTTTTTCTTCAAGAAACCAACTATAATAACCCACACTATTAAATCTTGCAAATATAAGATGATTAGTAAGTTTTGTAATGTTGAGATAAGTAAGTTTTGATGCAAGCTTTGGTGAGTTAATTATGTAATATTAAGTTAAATAATAAAACTTGCTGCAATGGGTTCCGTTAACCGCTATAACAGTTATGCAAAAAAAAGGAAAATTGTGATAAGTTAATTATTAAATTAACTTGATAATATGGATAAGTATATCATTCATGCCAAACAAGTATAGGACTCAATTAGTATTATTAAATAAGCTTGTGGGTCAAAGTTTAATTATGATAAAGTTTAAAGATAGTTTTGCAAATACACAAAACTTGGTCTAAATTTAATTTTGTTGATATAATTGCATTATTTGGAGTAAATTATGGATTTATAATATTTTTTATTAAGCTAGTTATGACTAAAAAAATTAAATTAATTATATCAGTTAAATTACTAACCAATAAAATAAGGGAAAAGCTATTCTCGTGTCACATAAGACAAGTTTTTTCTCTTACACACCTTTCGATAACTGTGTCATCTTTTTCTTTTCTTTTATTTTTTCAAGTGATGAAGCTCACTAATTTGACTATATAACATGAGATAACTGTCTCTTTTAACCTGAGATTAATATATAAAATAAATGTTAAGTCAAAAAGTCAACATATATCCATTTTAAATCCATTTTCTCCTACCAAATTCGGTCACCTCCATTCTCTCTCTCCTTCCACGTGATTTATTTCTTCTTTTCCCCTGCTCATGGTCGATGCTTGAATGGTGGGAAGGGCAAGCTCATAGCTCCTTGTTTAGTCCATTTTTCCACTTTTCCTATCTCACAAAACTTGAAGCTTTAGGTCTTAGGAGTCTAACCACCACTTGGTTCATCTTGGGTGGCTATTTTTGAAGAGATTTCTCCCCTCTATATGCACTGCTGCTGTTCACTGCTGTTAAAAAATGGGACTGTTTCCATGGTTTTAAATGTGGAAAATGATCTCTTGATGTTTTGGAGTACATTGGTGTAAAGAAGCTACAATTCAAGTGGTGAGTTTCCATGCTTTAATCCTTGGTCTATTGCTATTTTTTTGGCTGAACAATATGCTTGGAGGATAATGTTTTGATATATTTTAAATGTGTATTAATGTGTCTTGTTGTTGGTTGTTGTTGTAAAATCATAGAGAATGGATGTTGAAAACTGAAAATGGGATGGCCTATTTCTAATGTATATTTCGTCCCATGAAGGAAAAAGAGTGAGGACCAAGTGTTTGATGAAATGCCTAGGTGAAATCATGAATGTTGGATATGAATTTAGTGAATGGATCATTATCTTAGTGATTGAAACGTAAAGAAATCCACGAACCCTTTATGCCACCAATGTTTCGGCCATGTAGGAACAATGTATGAAGAGTAGTGTTTCATGATGTTTTTTGATGTTTAGACGCATCTTTTGATGAATTTGAAGTTCAAGGAATTATGTAAAAGTCATTAGAAATTTGAAAGGCATATGTTTCCTTTATGTATGCCATTATGTCATATAGTGTAAAATGTATAGGGATTGGGTTCTATAATGTTTTGATGAGGTTTTGATGTGTCTTGTGTTTGATTAAGTTGGTTGTACCATGAATAAGTTGATTGGAAGTTATAAAAATCCATAAATTCCTTTTGATGCCTATATTTCTGCCATGATCATGTTGATGAAGGAGATGATTTGTTTGTTGGAATTCTAATAAGAATTAAGGTATATTGGTTTGTACGATGATGATTGGATCACTTAGGAACAAAGAAGATGTGTAAAATCCATTGAGCTTCACTCTATATATGTTTCGGCCATATGATGTGCCTTCGGCATATAGATGTTTCAGAGTAAAAAGAATAAGGATTTGACAGTAATTCAGTGATAAAAAGTATTATTTTTAATGAATTATTGATAATCCATCTTCAGGCACACTTTCACTCTGATTTAATGTTTTTATAGGAGGAAAGCGAGAGATTGGCGCGGATCGTGTCATGACCAATGACTTTTCAAGCAAGTGGCGTGAATATTGAAGGAACTTCACGCTATTAGCGCCAACTTCATGCAACTAGCGTCAAGTTGAAGATATCCACTGCCTTTTCATGCTAATGGCGTGAATTTCACGCTAATAGCGTGAAAACCAAGGGAGCAATGCTATTCCACGCCAATAGCATGGATTTTGATGCTAGTCGCGCCAAAGTAAAAACGTCCACTGATGCTTCACGCTAATGGCGCCAATTTCACGCCATTAGCGCCAACTTCATGTTAATGGCCACGCTAGTTGCGCCAAGTGAAGGAGTACTCACTGCAATCTCACACTAATAGCGTGATTTTCATGCTAGTCGCGCGAAGCACAGGAATATCAACTTATCGCCCGCGCGAATCGCGCGGATCTGGCGCTGATCGCGCGGGCGTCGTGATTGCAGCTTCCTAATTTGCAGATTAGGACAGAAACGGAAAGAATAATCAAATCTTTTGGAAGATTATAACCTGATTGAGTCATTGGATATAAAAGGGAGTCAGAAACCCTAAGAGAGACAACTTTTGCACGGAGAAGAATACGGAGGTAGAAATCGAAGCAAGCTTTTGGATTGAAGATTCAAGCTTTCTTCTTCTCCAAATTTTCTGGTTGTTGTTTTATTCATGATTTCTTTTTCATACATTGAATTGTCAGACATGAACATATCTGGCTAGTCTTTCATTATTGTGGTAAGGGTCACAACCCTTAATGTGAATCCCTTGTAGTTTGGTTAATTTTTATATTTATTTATTCCAATTGTATTTATTTTATCATGTTCTTCATTTTATAATTCTTTTAGAACCGATCACTCTATTAGGATTGCGAGGGTTAGGGTTTTCAATAGGAATATTGAGATTCTAGTTCCTGACAAAGGGTAAAATAACAATTCATGTACGCACTAGGGATAGGCTTCATGAATTGCAAACGTGAAAAATTCACTGATTTAAAGGCTTAACTTGAAAAGGAATTTCTAAGGGATTAGGATTCTGATAGGGTTAATAAAGTTAAGATCACTAAGAAATTAGGGCTTAACTAATCAATTAATATATGGTGAATTGTTTGATCAATGGTTAAATTAAATGTAAAACTTAATTCATAGTGCAAGGTGGGGATCATAAAGGTGTTGGCGTCTTTTATCGCAATATTATTTTAAATATTTTCTCAATTTTAATCTGTTATTCTCAAGGTTTTAAAAGCATCTTTGAATTATTCACAAGTTTTTGAATAGTTCTCAATTTTTACAACCACAATTATTCTCAAACCAATTTTATTAATCCAACAAGGGAGGAATAGTTAAAATAATTTTGGTGCCTCAATCCTCGTGGAGACGATACTCTACTCATCATTTTATTACTTGGAACGATCGGTACAATTGCCGATTTTTCGTAACACCATACTAGGTAAATTGACCTAGGAAGTTGATTAATTGTTGAATGATGATGGATTATGATCATTATGTTATGTCATGTATAATGGACTTGTTGGTTATCAAGGAAAATCTTGAAAGGTTAATGAACTTGAAATATTATGTCTAGGTCATATTAAGAAAAGATGACTTAGAAGCTCAGTTAATTTTGGATGGAACTTGGAATGTGATTCTAGGTTCATTTTAAGTATGTTTAAGACATTGTAAGCTTGTTTGACGTGAAGCCTCTTTAATGTTTTCCTTGGCATCATTTTCGACCTTAAAGTAATTAAATGGGTTGGATATGTATTGGACTTTGAGTTAT